TGAAAATTTTAAGGGGTATTTTGGTCATTACATTTTATCAAAATATTATTTTTAATATTCTTTTTAGGTGCACCCCATTCAGAAGATGGAACGGACAAATTTCATATTCATACGATTTGTAGAAAAAAATTTAAAATAAAATATTCTAAGAAGCCAGATCTAGATCAAGCAGTCAATGACTCACTTGCTCTAAATTGGACGGCTGGATGGGAGGAGAAATATACATTTTCTATGTTGTTGGGGAAGTATAGAAACCTTTGCCTTTTGTTTTTCATAAATTGGTAAACTTTTTATAAAAGGAAATGGGAACCAATCCAATGAGCCGATTTAGATTAATGAGGCTATTTTGAACCGGAATTTTTGTAATTTATGGGAGAAAATAAATTTTGATAAAAAATAAGAACATAGGCATTGACATCGTTAGCCAGAGCGAGGACCCAAAATTGGATCTAGACCAATATGGTTAGGATAGATATGGACCTGAACTTGAACCGCCAAGTCCACTAGGTGAGTTTAGAGGCCAACACTAGCAAGGCTAGCTCTGCATGTTTAACCCAATAAAATGTATATCTTTCTTAAAATTCGTTTGGTTGGACTGAGATCCGCACCCAAACCAGACCTGATATGCTCCTATTAGTCCTAGACGGTTTGGAAAGCTTGGAAGAAGTTGGCCCTATGATCGTTCAGTTTGCAGTGCACCTTAATAGGCCTACCCGCACACGTGTAGGTCCACACCACCACTAAAAGTCTAAATGGAGGTCGAAATGAGCTGGGATATAAAAAGTAAGGGTGGCAACGGGACACGTCCGGGTCTTAGAAAAAAAAGTTATGGGAACATACCTGACCCTCTCACATCCATCTGTGTAGGACCCTAAATAATCACCATTAAATTTGGTTCAATCTCTAGAAAAATTATCACATGAGTGTGGGGCTTGACTTTTCTAGAGATCTGTGCCAAATTTAATGGTGATCATTTGAGTTCTTACACACATAGGTGTGGGAGGGTCTCATAGGATAATTACTCAAATATATTTTTTCATATATATATATGAAAAATTCTTCCCAATGCCTATAGGCGAAAATGAACGTTGATTTCGCCTATCCTCATCACCGTCCGAAGTTCATCGTACGGTCACGAATGTCCGGTAGTATTTTTTTTTCATTTTTTTTACAAATCGGAATAATCTGAAATTTGGAGCGTGTGTACATCTTAGTGAGGCATACCTAGTAAAAATTTTAAAAATAATTTTCGAATGAACAATTGACCAAAATACCCCCAAAATATTTTGGGGGTATTTTGATA